AAATAAAATATTTTCATACCAATAAAATTAATTGTGACATAAAATAGATAACCTGTAATAGAAACCTTCATTAAATCTCTTTTTATAAGAGATATTGTCATCTTTGAAAACTTGGATGCTGCCTCTATATTCCAGAATGTATAACTCAGGTAATGGTAAGTGATTTGGACCACTGTAGGGAAGGAAGCTGAAGTTACTAGTATAATGTTCTTTTCATTAAATCCCTTTTTGAGAGGATGAAGCTTCTTTTAGCTTTAATAAATGAGATTCCTATTCAGATAAGTGAAGCTCTCAATCATCCCTTCACAATTAATCTCCTTTTTTCTTGGAGTTTTTATCATCCATTCTTTATCCCCAACATCTGGTAATAAATAACCATTAGAGCACGGCTCTTCTATACATTTCTTCATTACTAGGATCCTGATGTCTTGCAGAGCCATTCCTCTATTTGACTGAGCTTAAGAAGTGCAGAAGTTAATTATTCCATAAATGTGCTTGCTTCAGGCACTTCTATACTCAAGGAGATTCCAAGGACAGGAATGGATCTCATTTTAGACTAGTTTTCCAAATGTGAAATTTTTTGTACTTACTTTTGCTATTTTTAAGAGATTACTCCATAAAATACTTTTATACCAATAACAGCTGCTTCATAGACATGAGCTTGCTTTCCTATTTCATTTTCTGTACTTGTATTATGTGATTTGGCCTGTCAGATTCATATGCCAAAACTGTCATTTTTGCTGCAGACGGTTTTAAACGTATCCTTAAAAGGATGGCCTGATCCTGCATCCTTTACAAGGGAGTCTTTACTCCCATAAGAATATGGGACTTTTATGGGAGTGCTTGCATGAGTGAATATTCTTTGTAGGGGGGGAAAAAGGTTAACAGAATAGGGTCTGGAATACATGTGCTTGAATGTTAGGTTTGAAATGGAACCAGGAAATTCTCAGTCTAAAGGAGTAAGATTAAATGTTTCACAAGGCACTTTTAGTTGAAGAAGTTCATATTGACTATTTTTCTCCCCTTGAATTTGTTTATAATATAGCAGATTTTGTGGCCAAAGGTACAATAAATACTGTGGGCTTCTATCTGTAAGTAATAGATAATCAGAAGAGGACAAACCTGGTACATTTCTTACTTCCTTTTTTCTTTAAGTCCCCAATCAAACTATCATATTAAAGAAAATGCAGCGGGTATGGTATGTAAATGTATTCAGAAAGCATTCACTATATGAAAAATTATTTAGATTGGCCTAGTAAGCTGCCCTGTCACACACTGAAAACCAGCCAATGGGATGTTAAAAAAAAGAAAGAAAGCGGGAGGGGTGGAAATCATAGGACCACAGAAAAGTAGGACTGGAAAAGACCAGGCCCCCATGTCTCAGCCAAGTGTCTGTCTAAACCTGCAGGGATGGAGATTCCACAACTCCTCTAGGCAGACTGCTCTAATGTCTGACCACCCTCATAGTAAGAAAGTTCCTCCTAATCTCCAACCTAAAATTTTCCCTGCTGCATCTTGAGACCACTGCTTCTAGTCCTGTTCCCTACAGCCACAGAGAACAGCCTGTCTCCATGCTCTGTATAATCACCTTTCAGGTATTTGAAGACACTTACCAAATCTCCCCTCAGTCTTTTCTTCTTCAGGCTGAATAACCTTAGTTCTTTCCACCTTTCCTTGTAGGTCTCATGTCTCAGGCTCCTGACCATTTTTGTTGTTGCCCCATACTAGACTCTTTCCAAACAGTCCATGTCCCTTTTGAAATATGGGGTCCAAAACTGGACCCAGTACTCCAAGCGAAGCCTCATCAGTGCTGAATAGAGTGGAGGAACCACTTCCAAATGATGCTTATCAATATAACCCAGGATGCTGTTGTCTTTTTTTGCAACAAGAGCACGCTGTTGGCTCATTAATCTTACAGTCCACTGTGTCATATTGAATGTAATATTTGAATGTTTGTAATAGTTGCCCATGAGCCAGTTTAGAAGAAGACAAGATTTATCTTCTTATCTAGGCCACTGTTTTGGTCTACGTGAGGAAGGTCCTGACTTTGCTCAAAGTCTTAACTCTTGAATTTTATCTTTAGAGGCCTTTAATAAAGAGAACCTAAAAATTACCCTTAAGCAAATATCCCAAATTCCGAGAGATCAAACCCTAGGGCCTTTGAAAAAATTGGAACGAAAAGGTCACTTGTAGTGGTATGGAAGTTCCCCAAAGTAATTAAAATGATCAACAAAAGAAACTAATTACCAAGCAAAAGAATCTGTTGAGTAAGATCCGAGCCCAAATTTGGGGGTAGTGACAGGTTTGGGTAGGAGGGGCCCTAGACGGCAACTCACTCAATAAAAACTGTAACCTACTCTTCCAATTTGGAGGTTACCTTACTTGCAGAACAACGAAGGAAGAATCGCAAGTGTAGGCCGGATCAGACTGATCACCTGAACCACCCTCTCCGTGAACACAAATCTCTTAGTTCATGCTGAAGCTGCAGAGCGCCCGAAAGGGACTGAAGGAAGGGGACTTAGTCCTATCACTGCTGAGGCCAGCCCATTGAATCGTATTGCTGAGGCGAGCCTATTGAACCGTACTACTGAGGCCAACCCATTAAATTGTACTACTGAGGAATTAAACCATATTTAGGTGTTTGGCTTCTCGGAATTCTAGGATTGTAAGTATATTATGAAAAATAATAGTATTGATTCAAATTTAACTTTTAGTTGTAATTGTAGTTGTTTTTGTAATACTAATTCTTATAGCATTGTTTGGGAAGGAAGTGCATTCGGAGCATTGTTTCTGATATATGTCATTATTGTGTTCTTAATGTTTGTGGTATTTCTTGAAGCTAAGCAGTGTTATATGCGTAGCAAAGAATTTTAAAATAAAATTGTGTTGTATTAATTAAGTGTGTAATCATTGTGAAATCGTGCAATCAACTAACTACTCCCCCAGCCAGTGCATCAAAACGAATCAGTAAATTGTGTGGGATTTTCTCTATTCCATAACCCACTAGAGACACCTCTGACCCATTTCTCAATATGCCCTGAAAGACCCTTGGTGCCTACTGGAAGCATTTGGAGTGTTCCCTTGCAACCTCTTTGCACTGACTTGAGTGTGGTCCTTGGACACTTGCACTCAGCTAGCCAAATTCATATGTGGTCTAAAAGGTGTTAAGTCACTCCCAGGCTTGGTCACAGGCTTCAAGCTAGGATAATGTGCAGGTTGGAGGACTCAAAAGGAGGTGTGGGTTTCACCAGCTTAGAATCCCTTCTTCGTTGTTATGTTGTTGATTTTGGCTCTCCTAGAGGTCTGTCCTAGTGGATTCAATTGTAGAAGCAGATTCACAACCAAAATTGGTTAAATATTAACAAAAAAAATTAAACTGAAATGGTAACAGCAGCAATGTTGAGGGGGGCACGTGGTTTTAAAGCAGCAACTGTACACGAAACATTGCAAAACATTGTCCAACTCTGTTGTTAATTAGCTAGGTTAAGTTATGGCTCCTAGGTTGGGTTTTTTTTCTTTTTGCCCTGAGGAGTTAGCCAACTTTCACGGTCTAGTAGGTCCTTCTGGCAGGAAGAGAAACATAGCGGTGAAGCATCCTGTTTATTTGCAGACAGTGTACAAAGTCCTGTTTCCCCTGGATAGGGTAGTAGTACTCGTACGACAGCTTCTCTGCTCAGTTACTGGGAGTTATTCTCTGCTCCGAGTCTGGTCGGGTCAGTGAGGGATGCCAAAGCTCACTTGTAGCTGATGGCTGACAAAAAGGGCTGAGGGTGACATGTGCAGGGTGGCAGAAGGAGGAGACGCAAGTGAAGATGTCTTTGTTTCTCAGCCTTTACAGCTGTGCGTTACAGCGCCTTTGCCACCTCATGCCCTGCCCCTTGGACTTCCTATACCGGTCTTTGTGGAAAACATCTCAGCCGCAGGGTTCGGTGGTAGTGCCTGGCCCTTAGTCTGCATGCTGGGCAGTGGTGCCTGCTGTTGCAGCTCCCTAGAGCAGTAGTTTTCAACCTCTTTTAATTTGCAGACCTGCTAAAAAATTTAAAATAGAGGTGCGGACCCCTTTGAATTGTAAGTGTGGGGATTCACAGCTGTTTGACCAATTGCAGTCATTTTTTCACCAGACTGCTCACAGAGACAGTCTGCAGACCCCCGGGGGCCCACAGGTTGAAAACCACTGCTGGAGAGGAATTCAATGGGTCCCTGAGGATGCACCCCCTCCTTATAGCAGTGGGGCTTGCAGCACACGGGCTCTGCCAAGGCGTGGAGTAGGGGCACCTCTCCCACAGCATCCCCTGCTGCTCAGCACCACAAAGCAGAGGCAGCCTCGCCCCCAGCAGGTGCAGGCGTGCACCAAGCCGCGCACCCCTGCTTTGCCCGTGGCTTTCCCAGGCAGGCCCCTCACTCCCTCCCCCTCGTGCTCGCTCCGGGGTTCCAGCACGCTGGGCGCAGGCCGGGAACCTGCATCCCGCATATGCGCCCCTTACACACCACGAGCGGTATGACCAGTATGCAGATGCCGGGGCTCTCCGGAGAAGGGAAGGCGGGGTGGGGGTGGGGGTGGAGTGGAGCTCCACTATACAGAAGCCGAGGTCCCGCCCCGGCTCAGCCGAGCCAATCAGGCGGCCGCCATTCGGCTTTCGGGGCTGCGGCACCCGGGGCTGCGTAGCACGGACTGCGACCTTGGCGTGCCAGCTAGGCGCAGGTGTTACGCTGGGCGCGGGGCCCGCCCACGGGGCGGCGCCCGGGATCCAGCAGGGGACGCCGTGTAGTGGCGGTGGGGAGCGCGTGATGGAGCCGTTGGAGGAGGCGGTTGG